ACAATATACATATAATACATCTATATATTAATACGGAAAGCAAAAACTTTGTATCCCTTTTTACGAAAATTTCGTGGCCAGAAGAGTATGTTTGGCCCACTTACAGTTTCCATAGATAGGGAGTGCAGAATGCTAATATATTTTTTAATTTATGCATAAAAATACATTAAATCAATAGAAAAAAAAATACACACACTACCATGTAATTCACACACATTACACTTTTGTTTATTATTAAAGTCATAAAGCCTGCTAATAATGAATGCTCCTTTCCACTCAGGGTTTGCTGGAAGAGAACTCTTACAGAGTGAAGCTCGTCTGTTGTACATCTTTATTTTATATATATTATATGTTATAATTTTTTGTGTACAATAAAGAATAAATAAAGAATAAAGTCTGCGGTCAAATTGAGAATAGATTAATATTGTTTGTCTGTTAATATTATTTGTCTATAGTCTTACTGAATGTGAAACATAACCATAATAAATTCATTTATTACAATATATGTTATGGTCGAATTTCGACCACGGGGCGACCACTAGTACAGATGATATACGATGATGAATGATACGAACTAACGCTTCACGTTCTTTTTTTTAAGTTTTTTTTTTTATAATGATACTGTCATTGTCAATTGCGATAATTTTGTATTCAGAGTTTGTTCTTTTTTTAGTATTGGTTATAATTTCTTATTTATTTATTTTTTGTTAAGTGTATCGAGTCTCCAATCCGAGAAATTGGTATTGGCGACCCGCACGCATAATAAAGATAAATGAGTTAAGGGGTCCGCCTGAAAATCTGCGCTATATAGGTACATCTCGCTGGAGGTGTGTATAACAGCAAAATGAATTGTTTTTTTCTCTTTTTTATTGTTGTTTTTTTTTTTAATTTATTTGTGGTAATAAAGATTCTATCTATCTGTCTATATACACAATCAAACATACACACAAGGAAACTAAATTAGCGCATCTGCGCAATAATGTATTCCGTCTTTCAAAAAAAGCGTTCACGCTCACTTTTTATTTTTATCCGAGCAGTAAGTACTTTATATTATTCTCAATTTCGTGTATAATATAGTATATATCATATATGTGTAAGTATATTTGTTATTCATATATATTTATTCGTTTATATATGTAATTTTAGTATGTATGTATATCAATAATTAGTAGTGCTGCATTCGAGTATTCTGACACTTGCCTATGGTTGACTGGGAGAGAATGCTTTTAGCATTAAGTCCGCCATGTACACATATTTGTACTAATGAATAAATAAATAAATGTATTAGCTTTTATTTCTCTTATTAAGATCTTTCTAGAATCTCTTTTTAGAAGATATTTCTTTAAATATCTCCCATGTACAAACATTAGCCCATTAATTTTATTATATTAGTAATGTGATAACATTGTCCATTCTCGATATTTGCGGATGCCAGTTGGTTTATCAAAATAATGAGTATGGGGTCACCGTATTTGATCCTATTTGTCTATTAGTTTGTGACTGAATTGGGCCATCTATTTCATTTCACTATGTTACTTAATATTTATTAAGATATTGATTATAACATGCCATTATGAAATTACATTGTATTTATATACCATAATTTTGCGTTAATTAAATTGATAATTACTATTTCTTTTTTGAATGAAAAATTAAGAATGTTTTTTTTTATGCAACTTAGAATGCCAAAGGTGACGTCCTGACACCGGATAAAAGCGGTAACCGTCGCCTATAAACATGATCAGTACCGTGTACATAACAGAGTATATACTGCGTCGTACTTACCTACCTTTTAATGCGTCAAAACCTGTTATTTTGATTTAAAAACAATTACAAAAAGAAATAGGTATAAATTTTGATAAAAATTCTTTAGGACTAATCTGTAAGTAGTAATCCTTACAGACAGAAACAAGAATTTTCCAAATCGGTTTACAAATGATGGAGTTATGAGATAACAAACATAAAAAAATACAACTCAATTGACAACCTCTCTTTTTTGAGGTCGGTTGGTAATAAAATTATTTTTTATTTGATAGGGATACTTTTAGACTGGTACCATAGACATTTTATCAAAATCGGTACAGTTGTATAGTTTTTAAAACAAAATAACTTGTTGCAACAATTGAGTTAGATTTTTTGTGGGACACAATCTTGTGATAATTTTTTTTTGATGATTTTGCATTATACAATATATCCCTATATTGTATAATGCAAAATCATCAAAAAAAAAAAAATAAGCAAGACATTTAATAAATGTAACGATATAGTTGTATAAGTACAGTAAGGCGGTCTTATTGCTGAAAGCATTCTTTTCGAGACAACCTAATCTTGCCTTACAACTTAAGTGGGGAAGGAATTGTTAGTAATGCAGACTACCAGTCATGTTGCTAGCAATATACCCTGTTAGATCGACCTCCACGTGGTCCTCCCTGGATATCATTGTGCTAAATCCTAGGTGCATCCATCACGACAGGCTAACTGACCTGCCTGTTTATTTTCGTCTATCATCTTACACTGGTGCCCCGTCAGTGTATACCGTTAGCGCAGGCCAAGTTACCATTCCATTAGAATCCATTAAAAGAAACCTTTAAATGTAATTAATAGCAAATGGAAACATTCATTAGATTAATAGATTTATCTATTTGTACTAAGTATTACTATTTTGTGGATCAGTCTATTTCGTTTTGTTTTTTTTTTATGCAACTTAGAATGGCAAACAAGCTGACGGCCCACCTGATGGAAAGTGGTAACCGTCGCCTATAGACATAAGCAGTACCATAGACATAACAGAGTATACTGTTTTGCCCATGATATTCCTATGCTCATGAATGACTCAGATGTTATTCCTCTGTACCCTGTAAATTCACTGCCACATCCCACCCTTCAAACCGAAACATAGCCATGCAAACACAACTGCTTCACGGTAGAAACACGAATGGGACAGAGGTGCCCAAGCAAACAACTTGTACAAAGTCTCCCTTTAGTATTGTTTATTAAATTCGTTTATTTACATTTCCATTATATCAATGGAAATGTTTATATTATAAACATGGAGATGTCCGTCGGTGTGTTTGTCTATACTATAAAGTGGAATGATTTGATTATTTACTTGTTTGTTTTGTTTGATAAATGCAATAATTAGGATTGTATTTCACAAAAAAAAAAATCAATTGTGGTAAATCCAGTTATTTTGATTTAAAAACTAAACTACTAAACCGATTTTAATAAAATTTCTATGACACGAATCAGTAAATGTATCCTTTCGGATAAAAAAAAAATTCCAATCGGTTTACAACTGATGGAGTTATGAGGTGACAAACATAAAAGAAGGTTAGGTTAGGGGAGAAAGGAGATTGTTAGTAATGGAGACTGAGAATCCCATTGATAGCAATATACCCAACCAGGTCGACCTCCTCGCGGTTACCCCTGGAAACTATCATGGTTAATTCCTGATGAATTCATCGTGATTGGCTAACTGGCCTGTTTTCATTCTCATCTATCACCCTTCACTGGAGCACCAGTTGCGTTGCGATTTGCTCCACTTAACATTTAGTGTTTCTTTTATTACAATCAGTTCGTAAATAAAAAAAAGTTGTATCAATCTAAAGAATCACATATAAAACAGTATAATATAACTGATCAGTTGAATTGGCTGAAACTTTATTGTATACTAGCTGACCCCGTAAACGTTGTTTTACCACTTATTGCGAAATATAAAAATCGCGATTAAAATACAGGGATTGATCGTAAAAGCGTGAAAATTTGAATTTGTATGTATTTTTCAATGCTAAATCATAATAAAATAAAAATAAAAAATTTTGTCAAAAAAATAAAAAAAAAATGTTTAGGGGTGGATCTCCCTTATCATTGAGGGATATAAAAAATAGATGTTGGCCGATTCTCAGACCTACCCAATATGCATACAAAATTTCATAAAAATTGATAAAGCCGTTTTGGAGGAGTTTGGTAACAAACACTGTGACACGAGAATTTTATATATATATATATATATATATATATATATATATATATATATATATATATATAGAATAATTATCAGTGAAAATATTCCACTTTCCATATATAACAACCATTAGTCAATAGGCCAAGTTTATCTAAGTGCATCGTCGTTATTTTGCTTTGTATACGATTAATTGTGTCAATATATGTAATCGATGAAACCGCATCGCGCCGGGTTTCGGTGGCGGTTGCAAACAGGAAAGGCATTTATCATCAACTGACAGAATTGTTACAACGACTAGATTACACAAGTTGTGGTCAATAAATAGTTTTAAGATTGTGTTTCACGTTTTTTTTTATACCACTTGGCAAAGGCAAACAAGCTGACGGCCCACCTGATGGAAAGTGGTAACCGTCGCCTATAGACATGTGCAGTACCATGGACATAACAGAGTATACTGTTCCGCCCATGATACCCCCCATGCGTTGCCATTCCTGAGGGCTCAGGTGTTATTCCTCTGTACCCTGTAAATTTACGCCATATCCCACCCTTCAAACCGAAACACAGCCATGCAAACACAACTGCTTCACGGTTGAAACACGAATGGGACAGAGGTACTCAAGCAATCGACTTTTGTACAGTCTCCCTCTGGTAAAACCAATGATAGCGTATTAAAGTAAAACGTACACCTCATTTTAAGTTAGATCTTAATAATTATTTGACGATGCTTTCCATCACTTGAGAGTTAACCAATCGAAGATTTATTGTTATATCAGCCATTAACTGCCCACTGTTGGACATAGGTCTACCCCATAGTTGCTACGCTTAGCAGACGGGTTCATAAGCGCAGTTAGGTTTTGGCGATGTTTTAAGAGGGACGCTGCTGACCATCCTTCGACCAATAAGTTCCCTTAGTCGCCTCTTACGACAACAACGGGACAGGAATGATGGTTCATTCTATGCCGGGACCATACGGCGGCTCACTAGGTTATTAAGTTTATCACTATCAATTGCTAACTCTAAGATAAAATTGTTACAGATCTTCAAAAGAGTGATATCCCCCAGGGGTTGTTCCCGGGAACTGTCATTAGGAGAGGTAGCTCGAGCACGAAGGAAGGCCGGCCTCACCTGAAGATGGAAAAGAGTCTCATAGTATCTAAGGTCACGAGATACGAATACGAAAAGTGAGTATTTCTTACACGATTGCCCAAAAAAGGAGTGTATAGTGTTTTTCGGGCTTAGAATTAGAATTCATTTATATTATTTATATGTGTGACTTTATTTTCTCCATCTTCATCATCATCATCATATCAGCCCTTAATGGTCTATTGCTGAACATAAACCTCTTCCTTGGTGGGTTTTGCCAGTAGTTGCGACACTTGGCAAGCGGATTGGCAACCGCAGATAGGCTTTAGAGATGTTTAAGAGGGACGCTGCTGTCCATCCCTCGTCCTCTCTTAATTGAATCTTATAACACTCTCGGGTAAGGAAGGGGTGGCCTATTCTATGTCGGGACCACACGGCGTCTATATATATATATATATGTATTAATATATAATACATATATATATATATATATATATATATATATATATATATATATATATATATATATATATATATATATATATATATATATAATATTAAATTTTATTGTTCAATGCTAAATCATAATAAAATTAAAATAAAAAATTTTGTCAAAAAAATAAAATAAAAAAATATATTTAGGGCTGGGTTATCCTTATCATTGAGGGGTGTGAAAAATAGATGTTGACCGATTCTCATACCTACCCAATATGCACATTAAATTTTATAAAAATCGGTAAAGCCGTTTCGGAGGAGTTTGGTAACAAACACCGCTACACAAGGATTTTATTTTTTAAGAAGGATATAGACCATCAGTGTTGTGGGTAAAGACTAATATAACAAGACTAGCTTTAACCTGCGGCTTCGCTCTAGTGAATCCTTCATACATGCGAAAGTTTGTAATACTTTCACGTCTTAACAGCTGAATCGATTATGATGAATTTTGGTATAGGATTATAAGCTACTTTTTTCTCCCGGCCAGTGAACATGTATTGGTCACGCGATTAAAGTCGCGAGTAAAATCTAGTCAGGATATAAAGTGAAATTATGTTAAAATATCTGTGTATCAAATTTTATTCAAATCCATGTCAGTAGTTTATGTATGAGAGTTAGTTAACATACATCGCTTTAAAAAAATATTTCTTATTGTACAGATACAGTCGGGAGAACATATCAGACAAAGAGTTGGAGAGCATACTGCGAAAGCGCGGTTCAGACTACGACGCCATGTTACAAAACCACAGAGAGCAAAAAGCTTTTGAGGAGAGCGTCGCGAAGAGCATGCGGGATATTGGGCTCAAAGTGGAAATGGCTAGCAGGTAAGGTAGTACACTTTAGATAATAAGTGCCACGTACCCACCATTGGGTAATATATAGCAATACCTATATATTGTAGTTACAATATTTATACATATATTGGCTCAATAACAGATATATTAGATATCAGTTATCCAATATAATATCGAAAACAAGAACCCGCTTGTAATGAATATAAATATTCAACTGGTATGGGCGCTATCACAATGGGTCGTCATCAATGTTCAGATATCGGATATTGCCCATTTCTACACACAATATACAATTGCCCGGTTTTCAAGTTAGCATGAGGAATCGGCCTACGAACTTCTGGAAGCACAATCCAGAACATCCAGACCCGAGTCAGTTAAGAAAAGTTATTTTCCTAAATTAGACCGATTGGGAATCAAACTCTGCACCTCACTTGCATTTTGCACTTCTTCTAAACCACGCAACAAGTTTCGCTTTTATTTAGATATTTTATTATGTCAGCTGTTAGCTGTCCACTGCTGAACATAGGCCTTCTCCATAAGGAGAGGTTTGTAAGAATAACCGCGCTTGGTAGCAAATTGAGCTTTCAAGATAAATTAAAAGGAGCGCTGATGCCGATCCCTCGACCATTAAGTTCCCTTAGTCGCCTCTTACGACGACTGCGAGAACTTAATTGCCGTGTGGTCCCAACATAGAACGGGTCACACCTTCCTTTCCTATGAATATCGTAAGAGGCGACTAAAGTAAATTAATGATCGTGGGATAGTCAGCAGCGTTCCTTTTAGAACATCATCAAAAACCTAATTGCGGTTGCTAACCTGCCTACTAAGCATGGTAATTACTAACAAAACTCCCCTTATGGGAAAGGTCTATGTTCAGCAGTGGACAGTAACGGCTGATATGATGATGCTGGAAGTGAAAATGATGTGTGTAGCGAAATGTGAACAAAATTTTATAGTATTACTGTGCTGTATTAGTGAATAATTGGTTCGAAATTTAAATTGGTACACAGTACAGTCTTTGGTGTGAAATCAGATGATTTCATTCGTATTTGGGCGTTATATCACATTAACGAATATAAACAGAATTAATTGGCGAAAGATAAAACTACATCCTTTATTAAACAGCCACCAACCTTGAGTCCGCGTGTTCTAGGTCAGGGGTGGATAACTTTTTTATAAATAACATGTGATCACTATCATCGAAATGTGCCGCGTTCGACTTGTTGGCATAGGATTAGTTTACGTTGATATTTGTTGTATAATAAACTAATTACTTGCCCCGGATTCGCACGGGTAGGTCTCAATTTGTTTTTAATTACAGTCCATGCTCTTCACTGATAATATGGCTTTCTATAGATGAAAGACTCTTTAAAATCGGTTAAGTAGACTTTACCAATTGCAAGCAGAAAAGCAAAATAAATGATCAAAAACTTTTTTAGTCATATTTCGACCGTTATGCAACTGTGATTCAATGGCTGTGATTTAGATTTAAGGGATCATATCAGCCGTTTACCGTTGTTTGCATGGCTGTATTTCAGTTTGTAAGGTGGGATATGGTAGTGAATTTACAGGGTACAGAGGAATAACACCTGAGTCCTCAGGAATGGCAACGCATGGGAGGTATCATGGGTGAAACAGAATACTCTGTTATGTCCATGGTACTCATGTTTATAAGTGACGGTTACCACTTTTCATCATAAACTCTACTATTGTTTAAAGCTAGTTAAAAACATAACTGTCCAGTTAAGAGGTACTTGCTTTACATGTATGAAACCTCTACACACTAAAGTTCAAGTATACGGAATTTATATCCATTGATAAGGAACAAACAAAACGGCCAACTTGCGATGTTTATTAGTAAACAAGTTTGTAAATATGACTAAGGCGTCTAGCGTAGTTTGTAGTACCTACAACTCAGTTTTATACAAGGATACAAGCGATTTTTAGAATTCCCTAAATCAAAAGCATAAATCGGACCTTTATAGGATCACTTTGTTGTCCTTCTCTTAAGACCCCTTTTCAAACGACTTCAAAAAGAAACAGGGGACCTACCATGAAATAAAATTCCGAAGTTTCGGACTCAATTTCGTGTTTTTGTTCACACCTATATCGGGCCAGTAAATGGAGCTTAACATTTCGTTCGTCATAAATCCTACCATAAAAGTCCCAAGGAATAATATTTTCATATTTTTAAACGGTAAGTATTATGTAATTTTAACATTAAATTTGTGTTTCGTTCGGCTCCGAAATTTCGGAAAACATTTCATGGTAGGCCCTCTTGTTCTTAGTACATCAGTTGTGAATCGATTTGAAATTTCCCTTTTTTTTTTTTTAAATGTGCTTACAGATTGGTCCCATAAAAATTTTATCAAAATCGGTCATTGAACTGATTTTAATAAAATTGTAACCACTGGGTTTTGTTTTGAGAAACACGATTTTATGTTTTATTGTGTATTATTTGCTCTCAGGTGTGCAAAACTCGGGACTATAGTAGAGACGCCCGCAAGGTAACTGTGTGTGTGTGTGTATGACGTTATTATCTACTAACATTGAATGGGTTTGATTTGAATTGATTCTTAATTTTCTTTTTAATTATTGTTTTTTCTTTTAAATTCTAACATCAAATAATTCAATATCTACTATTGATTATGTATGTAGAATGGCAAAAAATAGCATAGCATAATATTATAAATAAAGTAAAAGTGAGTTGTTTGTTTGTTATCTTGCAGCATTTTAATGGCTTAAACAATTACTATGAAACTTGGTATACGTAGGTACCATATGAGATGGAGAAGGGCATGAGCTAATTATTGTCCTAATCAGTGCACATATTCCGGTCACGCGGACAAAGTCGTTGGTAGAAACTAGTACTTTACAATCTAAGGTATAAACGTACTATATGAGATGGAGAAAGACGGAGCTACTTCCCATCGCAGTCAATAAAAATATCCCAGTCATATGGACGAGGTCTAAAATGTAAACGTACTATAGGAGATGGAGAAAGACAGAGCTACTTCCCATCGCGGTCAATAAAAATATCCCAGTCATATGGACGAGGTCTAAAATGTAAACGTACTATAGGAGATGGAGAAAGACAGAGCTACTTCCCATCGCGGTCAATAAAATATCCCATTCATATGGACGAAGTCGCTATTAAAACTAGTATGTATAACGATAATTATAATTCTTTGTTGCCAAGGTGTCACCTTCTGTAAGCTGCAGATTGATTGTATAAACATGTTTTTATCTATCTATTTGTATTGTCACCCCGGTGCCGAGTGGCAACGGCCCGTGTCCTTATATAAGAAGTCAATACCATTTACATAACATACAGAATTGTTTTGTTCGATATATCTTCTGTGAATGGAAATACAACGTAATCAGGTGATGTCTCATGATCAATATTTTATTTTTATTTATTACTCAGTGATTTATTTTTATTAATGGTAAACTGCTATAAGGAGCACTCTCGTTCTTTATGGCAGTCTACGATGGAGGCCTATGTTCAACAACCAATAGTTGACAGATGATGTATTATTTTTATATATCTTGTACTAGCTCTATCCCGAGACTTTGCCTGCGGGAATCAGTCTTTAAAGTATCCCGTGTGCTAATTTAGGATATAAACTACCCGTGTACTAAATTTGATTCAATATCCGTTTAGTAGTTTTTTCTTGAACTAGTAACAAACATCCATTCATCGTTTTTAACTTTCGCAATTTTTATCTAGCTTTTACCTGCGACTTCGTCCGTGTGACCGGTAATGTTTATTGATCGGGATAAAAAAGAGGCTTATGTCCTTCTCCGTGTCATATAGTATGTGTAAATCAAATTTCATAGTTGTCGGTTAAGCAATTGATGAGCTAAGAGGTAATAATTTAAAAAATAAGGTAACAAAGCATATTTCCTTTTAAAATGCCCACAGCACACCAGCAATGCTGTTGTTGTTGTGGGTGATCATGGGCGGCGGTAGTCACTTACCATCAGTTGAGCCGTATGCTCGCTTGCCGCTTGTGTTATAAAAAAAATTAAACACACTCACTTTTACATGCATAAAATAGTAAGAATACTGTCAGAAAAAGACTTTGTATAAAAGTCGTTTGCTTGGGCACCTCTGTCCCATTGATGTTTCTACCGAGAAGCAGTTGTGTTTGCATGGCTGTTTCGGGTAGAATAGGTTTTGGATATGGCAGTGAATTTATAGGGTACAGAGGAATAACACCTGAGTCCTCAGGTATGGCAACGTATGGGGGGTATCATGGGCGAAACAGTATACTCTGTTATGTCTGTGGTACTGCTCATGTCTATAGGCGACGGTTGTTGTTTGCCATTCTAAGTTGAATAAAAAAAAAAGAACTATTTTGACTATTTTATCTTACAAATATAATTCAAGATTTTGAACACAAGTGCCCTCCACTCACAGTAAGACATAACGCGCAAAATGCTTTTAATTAAAAGTCTATTGTAGCTGATGGCTCTGGACTAGGTATTCATTGTAAATCTATGGGGTCTGTATAGGGTAAATTTGAAATGGTTATCACCCTCATAAGGTCGTGGGTCGTGAGACGATAAAAACTTTCCACTCTCGTGCTAACACAACACGTCCTGCTGTCAAGTGTCAAGTTAGTTATGGAGCGTCCTCCATGGGAACTTATCATTTTTTTTCAACAAACTTTAAAAAGAGGGAAGTTTTGAACACGGCTGTATTTTTTTAAGTAAAAACTTCTTTAGATGTGTTGGAATTTTTTGAAATGGGAAAAAACCATCTATTTCGTGTGCACTGTTACCGTTACCATAACCGACACCTCTGTATGTAAGTACCTGCATATATTGTGTACTAGCCGTTTCCCGCGGCATTACCTGCTTCTATGTATTTCCCGTATACCATTCCCATTGGATTTCTTCATGAATCCGGTCTTATATTGTATTATATACTTAAATGATAATTACGTACCTAATACCTTCATAAAGTTTCAGCCATTTCAACTGATCAATTACGTTATAACAATTTATATGCGATTCTTTAGATTGATATAACTTTTTTATTTATTAACCGATTGAAGTAAAATAAATACTAAATGTTAAGTAGATCAAACTGCAACGAATAAGTGAAAATCGCATTCAAATCGGTTAAGCCGTTTCTGAGATTAGCGCGCATAAACGTGCAGATATTTCCAAAAAAATTCTAAAAAACATTGTTTTGTGTTATATTGTGCTCATAAAGCACTTCTATAATAGTTTTTCTAATATATCTTCCATGTACAGGCAGCGCCCAGTTACGATTTTATTATATGTATTGATTGATATATATGCATAAATACAGATGTATGTTGGCATTTATTGTGATGGGAAAATAAACATTGAACTCACGACACTGTTACCGTAACTGACATCTGTGACGATGCAAAAAATACACACGTAATTCTTAAAATTTTTACTTCTGTCGCCACTTCCGGAGTGCCACTGTTTTTTGTCTGTTTGTTACCCCTTAACTCTTTCAGTTTTACACCGATTTGGAAAATTCTTTTATATCTAAAAGGATTTACTTATACATTGGTCCCATAGAAATTTTAGTCAAAAACAATAAATTAGTTTTTGGATGAAAATTACTGGTTTTGTCAGAGGTACAGTCGGTTTTTTTTTTCTGGATCATGTTTGAATTCATTTAAAATTGATAATCACTTTGTATTATGGAGGGCAAGTAAAGTATGTACGTGTATGTGTGTATTAATACAATAAAATTGTAACTAAACGATGTCTGTACATGGATGTTTGAGAGAATTTGATCTGAGGGGTCTTAATAACACCAATAGAAGTAAAAATAATGTTTTTTTTTTTTTATTTTGTTTATACAAAAAAAAAATATAAATAGCTTTATTTTGTTTTAAAAGTGGTATAAAGGATGGTACATAATATTTAAATATTGTTCACACTTTTCACTAGAATCTGGCGTACACAAATTTATTTAATTGTGCTATTACTATTATGTATTATCTAATATATAAAATTCTCGTGTCGCAGTGTTTGTTACTAAACTCCTCCGAAACGGCTTTACCGATTTTTATGAAATTTTGTGTGCATATTGGGTAGGTCTGAGAATCGGCCAACATCTATTTTTCATACCTCTCAATGATAAGGGTGACCCACCCCTAATTATATATATTTTTATTTTTTCATCAATTTTTTTTATTTTTATTTTATTATGATTTAGCATTGAAAAATACATACAACTTCAAATTTTCACGCTTTTACGATCAACCTCTGTTTTTTAAACGCAACTTTTATATTCCGCAACAGAGTTGCAAGATGGCGATCGAATATAATAATTGTAGTACGATGAATTTTCATGTATATTTCTCGAAATAATGTGTATGGTAAACAACATTTGCCGAGTCAGCTATTTTACTTATATCGTCATGTTATATGAATGTCAACATATTTACATATTAATAATTATATAATAAATATATTAATAGTTACAAATTACAATTAATTAATTGAGTCACATATTTAAGCTATGTATGTTTGTTCCGACATCACGCAACAATTACTGCACCAAATTGGATGCGGTTTTCACTGTAGTGTCCCTGGGGGTGTAACTTAAAATGAGGTGTTGATTTTATCTCGATACGTCATAGAAGTAGTCTATTTAATTGGTTTTCCTACTTCTGAAATCCGGATGAAGAAACGTGCAAATTGCAAGTAAATATTTATTTATTTATTTTATTTAAATAATATAAATTATAGTCATGAATTTATCTTGAAACATTTCCAAAGCCTAACTGCGATTGCACACCCGCTTGCCAAGTATGGCAACTAATGGCAATACCTATATATACAATAGTCTATGTCCAGCAGTGGGAAGATAACTGCTGATATAATAATAGTAAAAATTTTTTAATAAATTAGCAGACTAAATGTATTTAATTCGTGTTTTTTTTACGTGCCAGTTATTCTAGATTGCCACAAAAAATTCGTCGACTTATTTTTGGTAGTTCATTATTATAGGAATCCCCTTTTGCGATAACTTCAGATAAACCCAGATAAAAGAAGTTTTTTTTTTGCTTGTATATACATAGTAGTGTTTTATGTTTTGTTTGTATTTAAAAATGTAGATTGTATTTTGCGCATTGTACTATAGTGCGGATGACAGTGGAACTTTATTTCTTTTTATACAGATCTTTAGAAGTACCATACCATATCAATCTTTGACTATTTACTGCTAAACATAGGCCCCCATCTATTAGGGGGTTTCGCCAGTAGCTACCACGCTTGGTATCCGCATTAGCAACTGTAGTTAGGTTTTGGTGATGTTTTAAGAGAGACGCTGCGGCCCATCCCTTAATCATTTAGTCGGCTATTACGGTACCCACGGGAAAGGAAGGGATGGCCTAGGGGATCGGGGGATTCTATGCGGGGTATGTTCAGCAGTGGACAGTAAACGGCTGATGTGATGACGATGAAAGGTAGGCTTTACTTCCGTGTTGGTCCCACCAATATTATGTTATTGTTGAAATTGAATGTTGGGTTTGGGTTTGCTGGAAGAAATCTCTATTGGAGATAAGCTCGCCCTTGTGCACTATTATGTTTGTTTTTACATTTCAGTAACCTTTTGTGTACAATAAAGAATAAAGAAAGAAAGAAAGAATGTTTGATGTCAAGCAAAATATTACTAAATATAATTAACCCTTTTAGTGCAATTGATTTTTACTCATCACTTAAAAATGCCAAAGAATACTTTGTCGTGTTGATGTCTTTTACCCTTGTCTCTAAAAAAACTGTATCTCCTCCAAAAATTATCCAATTTTAATATTTTTTTTTACAGCAAGCTAAACAGCGACTGATTTCACGAGCGCTATGACGCTCGTGGCACTTTTAGTTGCAATGCGCTCGTCGGCATTCAAAGGGTTAAATTAAAGTAGATGATTTTTGTACATAGGAGATATTTAAGAAAATTTGACATAAGCGTCCTTATTAAGAACAATAGAACCACCAACAAATTAATTCCCAAAGAGGGTTGACGTCAGACAGGTGGTCGGTCGTACAATTATAAGCCAGATGTTTTTGTAATATGAATAGAAAATATATTACGTTGACCCCAAATAATGATTGGGATATGGGTAGGAACATGATGATGTTTAAGAACAATAGAAGCCCAAACTATAATTTTTAGAAATTTCATCTGCTTGTTTGGCTATCTGTCCGACTTTATGTTTGTTCCGGTATTAAATAAAAAATCTACTGCACCAAATTCGATGCGGTTTTTCATAGTTGTGTTTGTGGAGGTCTAACTTAAACTTTGGTATATGTTTTCACTTGATACGCCATCTAGAAGTGATATTTTATATCACTGGTATTCCTTTTTCAAAAATCCATGCGTACGAAGTAACAGGCAGGGCAATAAGTTAGTTACTTGTAAACACGCAGTTTCGTGTTCTAAATTTAAACATTTACGAATATCTACGAAACATTACGTCGTTTATCGTGTGTGTTCACTGTTGAAGTGTTTTCGGAGCAAAGTCTAAATTTTATTTCTAAATATGCCGATTGTCTTTGCAGATTAACGTACAGCGACGAATTGATCAACTGGTGCGACGTGGTGGTACCGTGCGGTGGTGATGGCACATTTTTACTGGCGGCTTCCAGAGTGCGGGATGCGAAGTAAGTCAAATTAAACAAAACACGTCGAAAAGATGGTGGTTTTAATTGGATTGTATTTTTTGTTAGTATTTTTGTATCCGTTATTTGATATATTTAATCGTTACTGAACCCAAACAAAAATCATAAAATATTTATTCTCAACTTGAAAAACATTATTGTTGTTTTTGTTATTGCACGCGATGACACGTGCAGACGCGTGCACACACGTCCACAGACACGCACACGCACACAGTCACAGACTCACTTGCACACACATACAGATATACAATATTTGTATTTTTGTATTGTATTTAACAGGATTATATTGTACCCTTGCATATTTTTAAATACGTTAATGTGAATGTTACTTATTAATTATGTTCCGCGAAAACAGTCGAATTAAATTGTAGTAAAACCAGTTATTATGATTTCAAAATTAAAACTACTGAACCGATTTTGATAAAATTTCTATGAGACCAATTTGTAAGTATACCTTTTAAGATAAAAAAAGAATTTTTCCAAATCGATTGACGGACTTCAAAAAGAAGGAGGTTCTCAATTTTTGTATGTTTATACCTCATAACCTCGTCAGTTGGGGGGAAGGGATTGTTAGTAATGGAGAGTTTAGTCCCCATTGCTATCAATATTACCCTATCGGGTCGACCTCCACGCGGTTTCCCCTGGAAATTATCGTGACGTGACGATAAATTATCTTTGAATTCGTCACAAAATGCTAACTGACCTGCCTTTTCATCCTCACCTTAAATCAAAATAACTGATTTTGACACAACTTTAGTAGTTTTGTTGTTGTTGTTGTGTGTAAAACACAATTTAATTATTTATGTTTGTTACCAATTAAAAAATACAGCCGAATTGAAGACCTCCATGTTTTTGAAGTCGGTTAAAATGGATTGTATTATGTTTTGTTCCAGTAAACCAGTAATAGGATTTAACAGCTGCCCGCACAGGTCTGTCGGCAGACTCTGCCTACCCACGTGGTGCTCCAACGACCTCAAGGGTGCGCTCTACGCACTGAAGGAGGTGAGCCGACGCTATTTTTAATTAGCTGTCTCATCATCTTCCTACCCTTATCCCAATTATTATTTGGGGTCGGCGTAATATGGTTTTATCCATATTACAAAAGGATTTAGCTTATAGTTTTACGACCGGCCGCCTGCCTGACGTCAACCCTCTTTGGGTTTTAACTAAATGAAATAATTAAAGATTGTATTTCATAGAAAAACCGACTTCAATTATAGAAAAACGGTTATTTTGATTTCAAAACTAAACTACTGAACCGATTTTGATAATATTTCTATGCGAACAATCTTTAAGTATATCCTTTCAGATAAATAAAGAATTTTCGAACTCAGATTACAATTGATGGAGTTATGAGGTAACAAACATAAAAAATAGAGAGGAAAGGGATTGTTAGTAATGGGTTCTAATAATCCTATTGTTGGCAATGTATCCTATTAGGTCGACCTCCACGCGGTACCCCCTGGAAACCATCATGGTTAATTCTTGTTGAACTCTTCATGATGGGCCAACTGACCTGCCTTCATTCTCACTACTCATCTATCACTGGTGCCCCGCCAGCGTATATCGATAGCGCAGGCGGGGTTACCATTCCATTTTCACCCATTAAAAAAAACATAAAATATAGAGTCAAATTGAGAATCACCTTCTTTTTGAAGTCGGTTGAAAATAACCGTTCCCTTACAGCCTAAAAATAAATGTATTGCTTTTAAGAGTCATGTGTGTATATAAATGTCTTTACTCCACCGTACCTTCTAAACGCTTGTACAAATTTGGATGTATGTACGAGGTTTGTCCGGAAAGTACGTATAAAAGTTTTTTAAAAATTTTATTTTACAATTATTCAGGTAAATCAATTTTATCCCCTTCAAAGTACTCCCCCTGTGACATAATGCGCTTGTGCCAACGCCGTTTCCACTGTGAGAAGGCTCCTTGAAAGTCCTCTGGTTGTAGGTTTCTCAGCTGCCCCGTCGTAGCTTTTTTTATCTCATTTATGTCCCCCAAATGCCGCCCCCGAAGTACCAATTTGGTTTTTGGGAACAAGAAGAAGTCACACGGGGCCAAATCCGGCGAATAGGGGGGTGTTCGGTCACCGTAATGGAATTTTTACTCAAAAACTCACGGACAACAAGAGAGGTGTGGGCAGGGGCATTGTCGTGGTGAAGAATCCAACGCCCCTCTCGCGCCAATTCTGGACGAACTCGTGCCACACGAGCTTTGAGGCGTCTGAGCACATCGACGTAGAATTTTCCATCAACTGTCTGGCCTGGAGGGACGAATTCTTGATGGACAATCCCCCGAACATCGAAAAAAACAATCAACATTGTCTTGACATTTGAGCGGGATTTTCTTGATTTTTTTGTTCGTGGTTCCCCGGATGTCTTCCACTCTTTGCTTTGGGATTTTACTGTTCTGAGATCGGCAAAAATTTCACGGCCATTCTTGCCGAGTTTCGAGAGAAACTTGATAACGACGCGCTGCTCTTCAACGGAAGCGGGCTCCATGCCGACGGGGTTTCGTTAAGAGGTAACTTCACAGATGGCGTGACAAGCCAGTTCGCACCGCACGGCGGTCAGACCAGAACTGAAGCATTGTTAGGGGCATAAGGAAGGGGTCCTACGCTTACCTGGCCTCCCCACTCCTCTTTCTCGCATTCCAGAACACTTTTATACGAACTTTCCGGACAGACCTCGTATATGATATTATTAGAATCCTTACATCATCTTGAGTGAAATTGCGTTCCCTTCTACATTAATATTATAAAGAGAAAAAATTTGTATATTTGTAATGAATAAACTCAAAAACTACTTTGCCGATTTCAAAAATTCTTTCACCATTAGCTACATTCACCTTGAGTAACATAGGCTCTATTTATTGCTAGAAAAGATTAGGGATCCTTACTAAAACTTTATTAACGTAACTCAAGGTGTAAAAAATGCTATAAAATATCATTCGTCGCGTGCGCTGCGGAAACTATTGGTGATAGAACAAAAGTATGTCCTACAATATTGAAGAAATTATCAATAACTACAAAAAACTTCGCGATACTATATGTCCAACTATTATCGTTATGTCACAATAATCACTTTTTAAAATGTTGTAAAAATGTCCACCTTTTACAAAAGATTCAAATTTCTCATAAACCTAATTTTAGCTATTAAAATGTTTTGTCTCTTTCTTTTATATTACATTACTAATTTGAAAGAAAGTGATAAACAATACAATAGTTTAGATTTGTAGGTTTTAGTTTTTAACCGACTTCAAAAAGAAGCTTCAAAACTTCGTCAACTGTAAATAGTTTAGGAAAATTCTTTTTTTATCTGAAAGGATATTAAAGATTGGTTCTATAAAAATACTAATAAAAATCGGTACCTTAGTTTAGTTTTTAGTTCGAAATAACTGGTTATATGACATTTTTTTTTTGGGGCATAATCTTTGAATATTGTGAACAAGCTAAGGGCTAAATTTTTTTGGCATCGCAGTTGTTGCAAACTCCTTAGTTCTTTTATAGATTTTATTTGTATTGTATGTCTATACTTTTTTTTTGTTTTTACAATTGTTATTTTGTTCTTTTTCCCTGTCGTAGTCTGTCTTGTTTAGTTTTCTTTATTATAGTTATTTTCCTTCAAACTCATTGTTTAATTACATCAAATTCAGCTGTCGTGTCTTACAATTTGCGGAGCAAAATGTAAATTTAGAGTCAAAGTTTAATAGATTTTCTTCATCAACACCACTGACCTACGATAAACTATTAGATTAGATACTAGAGAATAGAATACATTTGCTTACTTTGTAATAGTAACGATATGATGGTCTAATTTCAAATGGCGTAAATAATAATAGAGTAGTTATAACTAACTGCAGTTGCCAACCCACCTGCTAAACGTGGCATCAATCATCATTATCATCATCAGTCTTTAATTGTCCATTGCTGAACATAAGCCTCCACAGGGTTTCAATTCAATTCAATTTATTCGCAACAATTACTACATTGTGGGGGGAAAGGGATTGTTAGTAATGGAGACTGAGAATCCCATTGCCAGCAATATACCCAGCCAGGTCGACCTCCTCGCGGTTCTCCCTGGAAACTATCATGATTAATTCCTTGTGTTGTCTCGTCGTGATGGGCCAACTGGCCTGTTTTCATTCTCATCTATCACCCTTCACTGGTGCTCTGCCAGTGTATCCCGTTAGCGCAGGCGGAGCTACCATACCATTTTCACGCATCAAAAAATAAAATACTACATTGTGTTAAATTTTTTTTATAAATAACAAGAAGATGTCATAAAACGACTTTACAATAAAACAGAAAAAGTATGAGGTAACAAAAGTTTGCGAGTAGTTGCCACGCTTCGCAGACAGATTGGCAAAGCCTAACTGCGGCTTTGGAGATGTTTTAATAGGGACGCTGCTGCCCATCCCTCGCCTTTAGTCGCCTCTTAAGACGCCTAGGATGGGGTGGCATATTCTATACTACATGGCCAAGTTTTTTTTATTTATTTATTTTTTTTATACTACTTAGAATGGCAAACAAGCTGACGGCCCACCTGATGGAAAGTGGTAACCGTAAAACAAAGATGAGACAGTGGACAGTTAACGGTTTATAATATAAAAACGTATAAAGTGGTATTTAGTTGTTTTTGCACGGCTGTCTTTCGATTTGAGGGGTGGGATATGGCAGTGAATTTACAAGGTACACAGGTAACACTAGTCCTCAGGAACGGCAACGCATGGGGAGTATCATGGGCGAAACAGTATACTCTGTTATGTCCATGGCACTGCTCATGTCTATAGGCGACGGTTACTATTTTCCATCAGGTGGACCGTCAGCTTGTTTGCCATTCTAAGTTGTATAAAAAAATATATAAAGATCAATGAGCAATAAGTGTATCAATAACTTGTTATGTTGGTGACAGGGAAAGTTCAAGTGGCTTCATAGATCCCGTATACGCACCACCGTTACAGGCGTGCCCAGACAGCTCGAGAAGATCACGCCTGTCGACCTGCACACGCTGCATTACTGCAGGTACGAACAAAAGATACATATACGAGAGACACTCCACAAAAAACGACGTCAATTGCAGAAAAATCAGTTATTTTGATTTAATATGTAAATTACTGAACCGATTTTGATAAAATTTCTGTAGGACCAATCTGTAAGATAAAAAAAAGAATTTTCCAAATCGGTTTACAACTGAAGAAGTAATAAGGTAATAAAAAAATCAAGCCTCCTTTTTTTGAAGTTGGTTGAAAAAAGCTATCCCCTTGTCTCCGAAGTATGAATGAATGGATGAATTTTATTGCTTTTAAAAAGTAAAAGTTCTAAAATAATCTAATGGTAACTTTTAAACTCAAATTATTGCAGTGCATGTGAATATTACAGGAAAATTAAATTTCCAAGTGTGTTACTTGTTTTTGAGAAATTATCAAAAAATCCTCCAATAACATAATTATGCGGTTCAGTTTTGAACCACAAAAAATACGGTCCATTACGTTTTACGAGGTATTACGTTCATCATCATCGTCTCAGCCAGTAACCGTCCATTGCTGAACATATGTTTATTTTTAATGGGTGATAATGGAATGGTAACCCCGCCTGCGCTATTGGTATACGAAAGCAGGTCAGTTAGCTCATCGTGACGAATTCCACTAAAATTAACCACGACGGTTTCCAGGGGGAACCACGTGGAGGTCGACCTGATGGGGTGTATTGCTGGCAATGGGTCAGTTAGACCCCATCACTAACAATCCCTTTCCCCCCCATCATAGGTTATATAGACATAGATTGCCATAAGGAACAGTCCTGAGCCACCTTTTTTTTTAAGTCTGGAAAATGCTTTATGCAGATCCATACACTTTGTGGGAGGTGAATGGGTACTGTGGGAATCCCCCCGTAAGGCGGGGGTGTACCCACCAAAAACCAGACTATATACCCTCGAGGTGCCATATGTCGGAGACATGGGTTCGCTTTCACACTCATCACATCTCCGACAGAGTCCCGAGCCACCAGCATCCACTGACTCGTTTCATTACTTATAATAAATATAATTTTATCTCTCATATCTATGTACGAAATCTTTGGTGGTTGAGTTCCAATCACACTTGACCGATTTATTTTACATGCAGCTTATTGACTATTGTAACTAATTGCAGGTACCCACCCGTATCCCACAATCAAGACACGGAGTGCCATCCGCCGCCCGTCGCCGACGAGCCCAGCTCGGAGCTCTCCACCAAGGTGTTGCCATTCTTAGCACTGAACGAGGTACTGTTAGTGTGAGGCACTTGTTTGAGATATATATAAAAAAAAACTTTGCCACGCACAAATGTTATTTATTTAATACTAGCTGTTGCCCGCGACTTCGTAAGAGTTTATCAATATGTGGCTGATTAAAATGATAATGCATTCCAGGTGTTCATAGGCGAGAGTGTGACGTCACGCGTGTCGCTGCTCCGGCTGCAGATCGACAACGGCCAGTGGACTCAGACCAAGAGTTCTGGACTCTGCGTCACCACCGGCACCGGCAGTACATCCTGGCACTTCAGGTATCCTGTTAATATGATATCATCACATCATTCTGGATTTATGTCCAGTTCCTTCACTGCCATATGTCTCTGGAATAGAGTAACTGTGGATTTGCGCGGGCCATAGAGTAAACCTATATTGTTAAAGAATATTGTTCAATTTTTGGTTAAATCAAAAAATTTTGCTCAAACTACATACATATTACATACAACCAAAGGTTGTCTGTAAGAGATTGCCCTAGCGATAAGACCGCCTTTTTGTACCTTTATATGTATATATCAATCTGTATTTATGTTACTGTATTTCACTTGAATTATTCACTTGTCATTGTATATTTTTGTTTATGGTGCAATAAAGAATTAAATAAATAAATAAGTATTACTAAATAGTAAACGCTTCACGAATTCGTCACGATGGGCCAACTGCCCTTAATACTCATCTTTCATTGGTGCTCGGTCGATATACATATATCAAAAACGCAGGCGAGGTTACCATTTCATTTATTAATCACTAATGATTCGCCCCGGCTTTTCACGGGTAGAAAGAAAAATAAATTAGTAATTTATATTAATTTTCATAAATACATTTCTTTTTTTTTTGATGGGTGAAAATGGTATGGTAACTCCGCCTGCGCTAACGGAATACGCTGGCGGAGCACCAGTGAAGGGTGATAGATGAGAATGAAAACAGACCAGTTAGCCCATCATGATGAATTCATCAGGAATTAACCATGATAGTTTCCAGGGAGAACAGCGAGGAGATCGACCTGGTTGGTTATATTGCTAGCAATAGGATTCTCAGTCTCCATTACTAACAATCCCTTTCTCCCCATACATTTCTTATTTGAACCTAAGATAGGTTATAATATTCTAATATTCGTATAAAACTTGATTTTTTTTATTGATATGTAAATATATCAAGTATTGCTTTATATTTCCTCTATTCAATAATGCACCGCCTACATACTTCTCGGTTTGTCCAATGGTTGACTGGTAGAGAACACCGTCCGGTGTTAAGTCCGCCAAATGTACGTAGAGTTTTACTGTGCTTTAAAGTTTAAATAAAAAAATAAATATGCATATAGACTATGTTTACTCGTTAAAAGTACAGCTTTTTATAGGTGAAAGAGTTTTTAAAATCAGTTGAGTTGTTTTTGAGTTTATTCATTACAAACAATAAAGTATTAAGAATAAAATTTTTCCTCTATAATATTGATATAGATATAGACAAAAAAATATCGGTTCCAGCATCAACTGCCTCCGAACTCACTCGGTGTTGGAGCTGATGAAGATCCTCTCGAGTGAATTCGACGTGAAGGTCGACACCCGTTTGGAGAAGGCCCGGGAGGTCGCCGAACGATACAACCAAAAACTTATGTTCCCACCAGGTAAGTGTTGATCAATCAATAAAGACCATGTTATCCCTCGTACGAGGGATAGGTTAGGCCCTCGGGGCGGACCCCTTTGGAGGTGACTATTCCCGGGTCACTGGCCCTGAGCACTCTTTTTGATAGAGTGAGACGTGATTAGCTCTTCTTTCTTGTTCTCTTAACGTACTGATCAGCTGTAGTGGACTTGTAGATTGCAGTATAGATGGCGTTAGTTTAAGGCCATTAAAACATTTCTAAAGCCTAACTGCTGGCTGGCTAATCTGTGATGAATAAAAAATGATTGCCAGTTTAGAAATTTTACTTCAAATTGTCTTTAATTAGAAAATAACAAAAACCTCTAATTTCGATTCCAGCGCCATCTAGTATTTCTTGTCAGTTGTTTAGTGACTATTATTTATTTTGGTGATAATGATGTGGTAACCGTGACTGAGTGGGGCGAAAGGGATTGTTAGTAATAGGTTCTAACTGACCCATTGCCAGCAATACACCCTATTAGGTTGACCTTCACGTGGTTCCCCCTGGAAACCGTCGTGGTTTATTCTAGTGGAATTCGTCACGATGGACTAACTGACCTGCTTTCATCCTCACCTTTACCACTCACTGGTGTCTCGCCAGCGTATACTGATAGCGCAGACGGGGTTACCGTTCCATTATCACTCATTAAAAAAAAGACGCGCTCGAAGTCGCAGCTGAAATATTTTTAAACTAGTGTATTCATGTTTCAACAACAATATAAGAGAAAAAAAAGGGAGACAGCGTCGTAGATGGGAAGACGATATCAAAAAAATAGCGGGACACACCTGGAAAAGGCAAGCACAGAATCGCATTCAGTGGCGAACTCTAGGGGAGGTCTGTGCTGGACAGAAAACAATCTTCACATACCGGTGTCAAACAATTAACTAATAGTACATTACTGCAGCGGCCAGCATCTGAGGCATTGATGGACGAACGTGTAAATGTGGGCCGAGGCGCAGCCGAGGCACACATACGTGAGTCCATCAAAGCCTAGTTGTGGCCAAGGCTTGTATAGTACTTTTCTCAAACAATGCGCGGAAATCAAAAACACAATTTTATTTTTGAAGTTCAATGACGAATAACGAACAATAATAATTTTTCACGCGCCATAATGTTCCTTTGTTTTTGTTTTCAATAAACAGCTTTGTATTAGCAAGCCAGTTCGAAATTTAAATAAAACCTTTTATTAGTTATCTCCTTGGTAGCCATGTTTCGAAGTAAAAGGTCATTCCATTTTTAAATTACAGGACAGATATGAGTTTACGTAGTAATTTATCTGGCCGCAAAACACGACAGATATGGATTTTCATACAACTTTTGCCGACCGCTACCCGCATGTATCTGGCCAGTACGGCAATTTTGATTTATCTCGAAGAAGATTGTCAAAATAATGCTCACATTTCCAAGCATGTTTGAGAAAATTATTATAACTATATTGTAATATTGTTAATAAAGGCTATTATTATTATTCATAATGTTGACCGGCGGTATGGCAGACTCGCGGCGGCTGGCGTACAGCGTCCGCGAGTACATCACGTTCGAGGAGTTCCCCGCGCCGCGAGGACTGCGCGCGCGCGACTCGGCCGCCGCCGTGCGCGTGCGCTCGCACTGCACCGACGCAGGTAAACACTTGCCTCTACCGCTACCTGTTCCCTGTTCTCCTTTAACCAAAGGTTGTCTGTAAGAGATTGACCTAGCGATAACACCGCCTTTTATACCTTTATGTGTATATTTCAATCTGTATTTATGTTACTGTATTTCACTTGAATTGTTCAATTTTCATTGTATTTTTTTATTTATAGTGCAATAAAGAATTAATTAAATAAATAAATACCCGGTAGGGGGGAAGGGATTGGTAGTTTGTTTCGGTTTGAAGGGTGGGATATGGCAGTGAATTTACAGGGTACAGCGGCATCACACTAGTCCGTGGGGAAGGGATTGTTAGGGCATAGTATATATAGTTAGAGAAATGGGGGGTATTATGGGCGAAACAGTATACTCTGTTATGTCCATGGTACTGCTCATGTCTATAGAGGACGGTTACCATTTTCCATCAAGTGGTTCCATCAGGCGCGCCTGCGCTCGCACTGCACCAACGCAGGTAAACACTTGGCCTTACTGCTGCCCGTTGGGGGGAAGGGATTGTTAGTAATGGGGTCTAACAGCGTCACTGGTAACAATTACCCTATCAGGTCGACCTCCACATGGTAGGTTGAGGATGAAAGCAGATTGGCTCATAGTGATGATTTCATAAAGAATTAATCAAGGTGGTTTCCAGGTGGAACCGAGTGGAGATTGACCTGATAGATCCTCGTTACTAACAATCTCTTTCTTCCAACGATGTGCAGCTAAATGGAGCGTCGACATACTTAGTTGTAAGGTAGTAAAAACTGGAAACGAAGAGTTAAGGCCTATGTCCAGCAGTGGACTGCAGTAAGTTCATTATGATGATGATGGTTAAGGGGGTTTAAGCCGAATTGTCTGATGCCCACCCCAGGATTAAAAGCTGACCTATGCTATGGGCAAAATCATGTCTAGGAGTATATATGGGCCTTATTCAGGGTCCAGCCGCCTCTTAGTATGGCTGCGATTGTCAACACTCGAAAATTGACTTCTTTTATAATTAATAGAAGTTCTATAACCTCTCATATTAGCCATCCATTTTCGACCGCCATTGCGCCCACACACGTTTTGCGACGTGTTTCAAATCTAAACAAGGCGTCTTCAGGTAAATGTATGTTGTTATGTGTATTTATATTATGTGCATCTGCTCTGGCAGCGATCTATTAATGTGTAGACACGTATATATACATGAAAACGCGCACACACATCCACACTCCCACGCACGCATATACTGTACACACTTATATATCGTTATGCTGTGTTATTTTTTATCTTTTTTGGTATCATTATAGTAAATATTTCACATAAACAGGACTAGTTGTCGACGGGAGCGTGTCGTTCCCCTTCAACGATGGCACCGAAGCGCTGCTAGAGATATACCCTGAAGATTCACTAATGACAGTACAAATGGACGACACACTGCCTTATTAATCGTTAAGAGAAAATACTGTGAATCTTCTCCAGTCATATTCCAGATTTTTTCTTTGTGACATACGAATTCTTTAATTACAAGCTTTTATTCATCTTGCAATGTTTAATTTTAAAATATTTAAAATATCTTGCAATGTATTCGTGTGTATGTGTTCTTTTAGATCAAATTTTGTATTAGATATATCAAAATTTGTAAATAGAATTAAAATCAATTCCTCATAATCGTTTTTGCTAAAATGATGCATACACTTTTAATTCTGGCAACAATAGAATATGCAATATATCAAAATGGCCGCCGTCAAAAGATGGCTGAGTGATTATTGTAAAATTATTTTAAAAATCTCGTATAAAAATATAAATATCTTGTTAATATTTAAGTTTTTAAATATGCCATTTTAAGGCATTGGAGCAATTTCATGTGGTCATCATCAAATGCCGGACTTGGCTTTGGAAAGACTGGGTTAGGATGTTAAAAAGCTGGGTTAAAAAGGACACATTTTTGGATAAGCCTGGAACTAATTGAAGTAAATGTTTTATATCAGTCTGGGCATGTAAAAGGGTAGAATAATATTTTTATGCATGGAATATATAGATTGTATTTTTAAGTTGAGGTCGAATGTACCTCACATTTAAATGGTTGCTAAAAAGTAATGTGCGTTATGTAATATTGCGTTATTAATGTGAAGTTATTTTAATATAATTTCTGTTATATTGTAACATTACATTATTAATATTAAATTATGTTAATGTAACTTCGCATTATTGTTGTAAAATTATATTACGTAGTGTTACATTATGTAGTATTACATTACGTAATGTTACATTATGTAGTGTTACATTATCAATATGAAGTTGTGTTAATGTAACTTTACGTTATAGTTGAAACGTCACGTTATTAATTTAAAGCTTTTGAAACGTTACATTAATCTTTAAAAGATATGTTACAATTAACTAAATGCCTGTAATAACTGTGATCATTTATGGCGATTAGCTATTTTATAAAATACTTTTATATAGATAATAATCACATTAGTGTAAGACTGATATGTAGTATAAGAATCATTGTGTTGCTTATACATTTGATTATGAATTGTAAAACTGTACAATAAATAAGTACGTAAAAGGACCTGTCTTGCCTGAGTAATTATTCCGTCTACCAGCACGGCTAAACCGCTGGATATAGAACTTGAGATTTGTATAATTTGCCATTTTATTTGGGTCTTTTTTTAGGTAAAATTTTTAAAAGTTCAGCATGTGTTTTGTATATTTTTATTTTTGTAAATTTTGTTTGTTTATACATTAATTATGGAATGTCATATATTACGCAATGTCATCGATATGCAATGTCATGAAACGTGCAATGTTATTAAATAAAGTAATAGTTTTATGTCACTAGTTAACGTTGACCTTCGTTATGAAGTGGCAAGCAAATTGCTTTCTTTTTAATATAATATTAGAAATATTTTTTTTTTATCGGATGAGATCATGAATGTTTCGTTGTCTAATTTCTCATAACAACAGGTAGCTGGTTTACTTTTATGGTACTTGTCTTTAATATGAAATTATGTTATTTAAATGTAAGCATATTTAATCTTTTTACGTATAAACAGTTAATAGATATTAGTAAAAGACTGTACTGTTCATTTTAATTAAAGAAGTTTACTTTTAGAAAGGTTTCATGCTAATTTAATTAAAATTGTTATCGATTGCTTTATGTAAAGAAAATATAGGTAAATATATTGTTATTAGATATATTCAATCGACTGTTATAGACTTCTACAGCAGTTTATTTTAATTTGGATTGGTAATATAATTCTTATCACCATCTGATAAAGTTATGATTTAATTGCAACAAATTCTTAATTCAGACTGACTTATTGACATCAAGAGTTGTCGATGTTCGATTTTTAAAATTAATTGCTGTAGTACGTTTAATAAAAAAAAAAAAAATTCAAGTCAACATTAGTACTTATAAGGATTGATTTTTGTACGTTTTTATTTTTTTTTACGTGTTATATAAAGTGCGTTGATTTAAGATGTTAATTTGTTTTGTATTTAGTGAAATTATATTTTGTTGTTCTGTTGTTTATGGTATAATGTCTCCATAATATTAGGGCTAGGTTCTAGTATCAAATTAAATTATGAATATTTTTTATATTGCCACAAGACTTGAATAAATAAAATGAACTTATTATTCAATATTTTATTTTTTATTTTATTTCAGACGTTCAATATTTTTATGGTAAATGTAAAAGAAATGAGTGGGTTGTGTATTTGTTCAGAGGTAGTCATGGAATTTCTTCTAATAAAAATAAAATAATAATTTCTTTAAAAGAACCTTGAAAATTAGTTTTAACAAGTCGTTGGTTTACGTATAGAAATAAATTAATATAAATAAATTGTGAATTTGACAATTAAATATGTCTTATTAACTGAGAAATGGAAATGTCATCAATTATAGAATGTCATTATTACAAAATGTCATTGTCACATACATTGTTCTTACAGTGTATGTGACACTGACATTTTGACGACGACAGGAAAGTAAGGAAAAATATTTTTATTTTTTGGATATTTCTAAAGAATTCTCTTATTATGCTTAATCATGAAACCGATTTTTTTATGCAACTTAGAACAGCAAACAAGCTGACGGCTCACCTGATGGAAAGTGGTAACCGTCACCTATAGACATGAGCAGTACCATGAGCATTTAAACCCCCCCCCCCCCCCCCATGCGTTGCCATTCCTGAGAACTCGGGTGTTATTCCTCTGTACTCTGTAAATTCACGCCATATCCCACCCTTCAAACCAAAACAGCCATGCAAACACAACTACATCACTGTAGAAACACGAATGGCACAGAGGTGCTCAAACAAACCACTTTTGTACAAAGTCTCCCTTTGGTAAAATATAAGGCAAATAAGTTGTAAAGGAAATAAATACAAAAAAAAAATTATATGAAGTCAGTATATTTGTTAAAAAAAATTCGTACACGATCACTTACACCGCCGATATCGTTCCAGAACCCCATTGTATTAAAAAAGAAACTAGTACATTAGTATACGAAATAAAAAAATATAACAATGGGATAATTATGAAACACATATCGGAACTAATTCGTTGTTACATATAGGATTACAAGTGAAACAAGCAACTTAAAATATAAGCCCGAAAAATAGCACCGACAGGACGGATACGGCATTCGCCGTGGAATACCTTAGCCTTAAATAACTTAAAAAATATGGCATCTATGATACGTTCAATTATAAAAAAAAAGAAATTCGTACGATGGCTGCTTTTTTACAATAAAAAAAAAAATCTTACGTCAACATATAAGTGCATACGTACATTACATTTGTTTTATAAAATATGGTAAAAAAAATGTCATACATTTTATTCTTACAGCTATTTCTTCATATTTGTACGTCGTCTGAATTGTTAATATAGATATTGATCTAAAATAAAAAAAAAAAACAGCAAGAATAGAGGAAAAAAAAATATGGCCCGCCACCGTTTAAAGAATTGTCAGTGAAACTGTTTATACAAAAAAAAAATCGTAATACAAATAAGCATTCTTATAAAGTTGGTAAATAATTTAAGAACAGTTTCAGAGCTCTAGCAAACCCATACTAAAAAATAACTCCATATTCCTCATAAATATATATATTGATCACATTATTATTAATCTATTACGTAATGCAAGGCAACCTTTTCGTAAAAATACTTATTTCATAAGAAAAAAAACAAGAAAACTCACTAGTCAGATGGATACGGGGGTATAATGGACGAATTATCACAAAAAAAAAATATAAATATATTTTCAAGTACCTAATTTGCTCACAATCTTAAATATATTGGTAAAACTAGTGTTCTTAACTAAATTTGACTGATCGTTGTGCTGTGAACACAACATTTTATATTAATAACTGGATTAAAATGTAAAATTTAATATAATATTGCATTAATACGCAGCTAGGTACATTGCCAAAAACTATTTTTTTTATTAAGCGGTTGTTTCTGTAATCCTAAAATTCAAAGGCACGCCATATTTGAAATGTCAGAAAAGGAATTCCAAATTCGAATTATTCGTTCATAACTCATAAATGCAAATATGTCTTTTTACATACTTACTATATGACATTAAATTCTTTTTGAAACTAACCTTAATGGACTACACCACTGGACTATATGGCAGTATAAAACACACTTATTAGCGTGACCTGTGAAATATTATTAAATTATCACTGGCAATTGGCAGAAAATTATTGCCTATTTTTAATTAAAAAAACATTAAATTCTTTATTCGAATCACATTTTCTCACAATATAAAATTCTAGTCCGAGGGCCAGGGCACATTTTACTCCCAACCGCTGACAACTATTCAGAGTAAATGACTGGTAATTTCGATGTTTTGTTTTTAACTAGTATGTGAATATCCAGTGTTGGTGTAGGGTCCGCTGTACAAAGAGCTTCCGGTACGCGAGTACGTCTTCGGGTTCCGCCGTCGGGCCAGTATGAAGGCGATGGCGGCGATCACGCATATCATTAATATGACGCCCGCTACACATATCGCGATGGCGAAGTTCCGTTGCGATATGCAGATTTCGTCTTCTTTCTAAAATTATCATTAAATTTCATTTGACATTTCATACTTGTAAAGTTTCACAGTGGCTAATGTGAGTTGTGCAAAGATTTACGACTGCTTTCACGTTTACATGTTGACGAGTTTTTGTTGAAAACTAAGCAGCGCCTCTAGCAGATAATTTCGAAAACTATTTGTACAACGCTTTGTACAAACTTATCGTAAACATGAACGCAATCTGAACGTAAATCTTTTAATACGGGATTGGTGATTCTTTACGTCTTTTTTAATAAAATTAGTTATTTAAACCTATAATAATGTATCAATGTAAGTCTCAATAACGACAGTACCTTTCATTCAAATGGAGTGATAACACTCAGTAAAGCCACTTTTCCTATTAAAATATTTATTTATTCATTAGTACAAATATGTGTACATGGCGGACTTAATGCTAAAAGCATTCTCTCCCAGTCAACCATAGGGAAGTGTCTGAATACTCGAATAAGGTACTACTAATTATTGATATACATACATACTAAAATTACATATATAAACGAATAAATATATATAAATAACAAATATACTTACACATATATGACATATACTATATTATACACGAAATTGAGAATAATATAAAGTACTTACTGCTCGGATAAAAATAAAAAGTGTGCGTTAACGCTTTTTTTGAAAGACGGTTTAGTCTTTAGTCTCTTAATGGCATCAGGAAGCGCGTTCCAGAGTCGTGAAGAATGTAGGAGAAAAGAGCACAATATATATCACAAATAAATAAATAAATGTTTCGAGACATGTATTTCTATGGAAACTTATTTGGGGTAGGTTTAAGTGTAGTTTTATTAATATATAAAATTTAATAATATCTTTTACTCTCCTCTATTTTCATATATGTGTCCAATAATTTTCTTCTTTTCTTTTTTTTGGTCGATATAAAATACACTACCTTTTCGCTAGTGACTTCATCGTTGTCGGGCGAGTCTGCTTCGTTGACGTACAGGCCGGAGAATACCTCCACCGTGGCTGGCGAGCCCTCGTCTGATTGACGACGCACTCTGTTGTTCTTTTGGGCACACGGCTCCTGGAGTATAATATATTTTTTAATGCTGGGAATGAGCAAAGGTACTAGAGACTACAAAAGTCGTCTGCTTGCGTGCCACCGTTTCGTTCTTTTTTGTAGACGTAAAGTAGTTATGTTTGCATCGCTGTGTTTCGGTTTGAAGAATGGAATAATGACATTATATCTCTCAAGAACGGCAACACACGAACGATGCTTTGGGCGTCACAGTATATTCTGTCTCTCGCATTATCAGGTAGGCCATTAGGTTGTTTGCCATTATAAGTTTGGTAAAAGTCTTTCAAACCAAAAGTGACTCAGTGAAAAAGTCACCTCGCAAGAGAATTTTTGTCCCAGTCGTGTTATAACCTTGAAGCAGTTATGCTTACATGTCGGTTAAAAGGGTAAAATTTCTCAAAATAGAAGTATAACATCTTAATCTTCAGGAATAGCAATGCTTGAACAGTGCCAAGGCAGTGATATCTAAACACGACGGAGACATAATAATTACGAATTTATTCCATTTTTGAAGTAAGTTAAAAACGAGATAAAAGTACAATGTATCCGTCTCGTTCACTCACACAATCAGTGGGGTGCTTCAGGTCGCACAACTTCACTTCGCACGTGTAGTACACGCTGGCGGTGTACGGGAACTTGTGAGCCGGGAACGACACGCTTGCCTCCTGCTTGTCACCTGAGTACTGGAACATGCCCATTATCTCACCATCTAATGGGCACCTGCATTATACAAATATAATTAAAAACGAATATATATTGTCCCGTTTAATTATTTTGCCCAATAATAATTTATAAATTTGTTTGTTTAGTTTTTTGTCTCAAGTGTTTTTCCCGCTGATTTGATTGATTCTCTTTTCCACTTTGGGTTTTCTAAAAGACAACTCTTGTAGGATTAAGTTCGCCTTTGTACATTTACTTACCTCTGTCATATTTTTATGTATTATTAATGTATATAATAACGTATAAATAAATAATTTATTATTATTTAAGGATTTTTAATCATTTTTTATTGTTATTGTCAAATCAGTTATTTTGATTTAAATACTAAGCTACTGAACCGATTTTGAAGAAAATTTTATGGAAACGATCTGTTTCTATGGAAACTATCTAAAAGTATGTTCTTTCAAATAAAAGAGGAATTTTTCAAATTGTAAATGACAGAGTTCTGAGGTAACAAACATGTAAAAATACTATTTTTATGTTAAAATCTCTTTTTAAAGTAGGTTAAAATACGAATTCTCCGTAAAAAAGGAGCTATTTCTCTTTGAACCAAATTTGTTCAGGCATTTAGGAGTAATGGTGGAAGAAACAAACTCGTATACGTGAACCCTAAAACATACTCCTATTCTGAACAATCTTTTTGAAAAATGGACTTTTTCTTATTTATTACTATTTTTATTATTTCAGCCATTAACTGTCCACTGCTGAACAAATACCTTCCTCATAAGGAGAGTTTTACCAATAGTTGTACCACCACTTACCACGCTTGGCAGGTCGGTTGGCAACCACAGTTAGGCTTTTAGATATGTTTAAATATACTTACTTAAGACTAAGGGATTAGTTGACTCTATCAACACTCACGGAAAAGGAAGCGATGGTCTATTCTATGCCAGGACCACACGGCAAATTCTTATTTAGTCTTCTTATAAAACCAAGTTTTTGACCATTTTTAGCAAATATTTCATTATCAATTAGGCAGTGGAAATAAATAAATAATACATAAATCTGGTTTACATAAATAAAAATAGTTTTTATTCTAGTCATTGTAATGATGTTTGGATACTCGCCCGTCATCAGCGATGAGGCTCTGCTCCGCCCAGCCCAGGCCGTCCTTCACTGCGCACTCGGATACCAGCAGCCCGAACTGACGCTGCTTCTCCAGGGACACTACGAGGGTCAGGGTATCACCAATACGCACCGTGGACGCTACCTGCATATTTAAAAACAAGTTTATTAAAAAAAATATGCTTTTGTAATGTAATCCCTGTAATTCATTGTGTGTCTGCGGCCTTTAAATAATGTCATATTATTTATTTCCTATATTGTATAATGCAAATAAAGTATACTCATTCATTCATTCATTCATTTATATTAAATTTTTTCTTACTATTCAAGTTCTTTCATTTGATATCCATACTAATAGAGTTGACAAAATATACGCCGGCCGCCATTTTGTGGCGACGGCCATTTTGAGAGTATTATACTGCAGCGTATTTGAAATATGTTTTAAAACTTGTAAAACTTCATTCAAGAAATTCTAAATGGTTTAGGTTAAAAATTTTAATTTTCCCACTAATTTTAATTATTTTTAATTATTTTAACTACAATCTATTTTCAATTTAATACATATCTCTGTAATATTAATGTAAAATTTTAATTTTAGAAATAGATATAGAAAATGACGATACAGAATCCCACTCTATGGTATATCTTGGGTCTATATACATAAATATAGGTATTTACAACTGCATTAAAGTCATTAGAGCCTACAGCTGTTTACTATATATGTTGTTGCTACTTACTTCTTTATCTTTTGGGTCTCCTTTATATATTTTCATGGTGACCGACGGTAGCAGCCCTGAGTCCTCATCGTATTCATCACTGAAAATGTTAATAGAATTTTTACATATAATTTTTTTTTATACAACTTAGAATGGCAAACAAGCTGACGGCCCACCTGATGGAAAGTGGTAACCGTCGCCTATAGACATGAGCGGTGCCATGGATACAACAGAGTATACTGTTTCGCCCATGATATCCCCCATGCGTTGCCATTCCTGAGAACTCAGATGTTATTCCTCTGTACCCTTTAAATTCATCCTGTAAATATAAGTTTTCCCTGTGCCCTTTTTTGCGTTTACTAAATATGTATTTATTTTTTACGTCCTATACTCGTATTGTCAAGTTATTTTTTATACAATTTAGAATGGCAAACAAGCTGACGGTCCACCTGATGGAAAGTGGTAACCGTCGCCTATACACATGAGCAGCATCATGGACATAACAGTGTATACTGTTCCGCCCATGATACCCCCATGCGTTGCCATTTCTGAGGATTCAGGTGTTATTCCTCTGTACCCTGTAAATTCACGCCATATCCCACCCTTCAAACCTAAACACAGCCATGCAAATACAACTGTGTCACGTTAGAAACACGAATGGGACAGAGGTACCCAAGCAATCGACTTTTGTACAAACTCTCCCTCAATTAGAGTTACTATCTATTTTATAATAGATGTTGTATTAACCGGTAACTGTCTACTGCTGAACATAGCCTCCTCTACAAGGGAGGTACTGCCAGTAGTTGCCATGCTTGGCAAGCGGGATGGCAACTGCAGTTTGTCTTTTGGTGATGTTTTAAGAGGGACGCTGCGGCTCTCTCATCTCTTCATCATAAGCTCTCTTATTCGCCTCTTATGACACCCACGGTAAAGGAAAGAGAGGCCTATTCTATGCAGGGACCTATGGTGTACATTTACAACAGATGACTTTGGAAAAATATTTTTTATAGATCTCTTAAAATTTTCATCGTTCTCAGTTCAGCCATATACTGCCAACAATGCCAGTAATCGATAAACAAATAAATAATTAAATTGTACTCCATACAAAATAGTCTTCAATTATTTTGATTTAAAAACTAAGCTAAATATATACACACAAAATAAATTTCTTAAATATTTAAATTATAAAAAAGAAAAGAAAAGATAAAGGAAAGAAAATAAAAGATAGTACACCTGCTAATCACGCTGAGTCATCGGTGTTTTTATTTCCCGGTACATTAATAAATTAAACGTCAAGGCAAAGCGACAAATGTCAAGGATTAATGCGAGTCTTATATTGACTTCTGTTTATTTAATCGTATCATAACGACTTAATACCATTAAATCTTGTCTAATGAGATAATATTAAAAAATTACTAGGTATTGGATATAATAATAATCATCATCATCATCATTTCAGCCGTTTTTTTTTGATGGGTGAAAATGGTATGGTGACCCCGCCTGCGCTAACGGGATACGCTGGCGGAGCACCAGTGAAGGGTGATAGATGAGAATGAAAACAGGCCAGTTAGCCCATCATGATGAATTCATCAGGAATTAACCATGATAGTTTCCAGGGGGAACCGCGAGCAGGTCGACTTGGTTGGGTATATTACTAGCAATGGGATTCTCAGTCTCCATTACTAACAATCCCTTTCCCCCTCATTTCAGCCGTTAACTGTTCACTGCTGAATATTGGCATTAAAGGAGGGTTGCTACGCTTGACAGGCAGATTGGTAACTGCACTTAAACTTTGGTGACGTCTTAGGAGGGACGCTACTGCCAATCTCTCAACCATTAAGTTCCATTAATCGCATCTTACATAGTAATTTAGCTTAATTCTAAGTGAATTCACCACGATGAGCTGATCTGCCTCTTCATCCTCACCTATCACCATTCAGGGGTACTCCGCTAACGTATACCGTTGGTGCGGGCTGAGTTAATATTCCATTATTACTTAGTAAGATAATTTAAGATTTCCACAAAGAAAACCGATTTCAATTGTGGCAAAACTAGTTATTATGATTTAAAAACTAAACTACTGAACCGATTTTGATAAAATTTCTATGGGACGAATCTGTAATCTGTGTGATTCGAGCATAGAATAAGCCACCCCTACCCTTCCCATGAGTGTCGTAAGAGGCGACTAACGGAGGACGAGGGATGGCAGCAGCGTCCCTCTTAAAACATCTCCAAAGCCTAACTGTGGTTGCCAATCCGCCTGCCAAACGTAGCAACTACTGGCAAGACCACCCAAGGGAGTAACTTATGTTGAGCAATAAACAATTAAAGGCTGATATGACGATTTTGTAAGTATATCCTTTCAAATAAAAAAAGAATATTTCAAACCAGTTTATAATTAATTAAATCATGCTGCAACAAACGTAAAAGAATAACGCAACCAAATTTAGAATCTCTTTCTTTTTGAAAGCGGGTAAAAATACTTCTTGCCTTCATACCCAGTAACTTTACGAACCGTAATGGAATAGTAGCCCCGCCTGACTAATGCTTAAGCGAGGCATGATATCCATAATTATTTCACTCTACCTGTTGTCATCAATATCAGACAGCGAGTTACTGAGCCGGTCTGCTCTTGGCCGATGGTGGTAGACGTGGAAGTGCGTGAGATCGCGGCGCCTGTACCGGCAGCGGACGTGGTACCCCCGCCCCTGCCCGGTCACCAGCTTCAGGTGGGGCTGCACTATGATATTGTTGAAGTACTCCACTGTACCGTCATCCTGAGGACAAGGGATCATTTTTACTCGACTGTGGAATAAAGGATAATGTTTTGTCCATAAATATGTACAATTTGTTTATATTTACTTGGCAGAATTTGTGAACAAACTTAGCATGTTTTTGTTCTACTCAACTTAACATGTTTTGTTTGACTTATGCCCTTATATATTATTATATTAATTTGTGGCTGTAGCCTACAAACGACATACATATCTTCTTTGGAAAATACACTCTATATCTTTAGGAGATACGAAACAAGTTGTTAAACTAATCGTATCGTGCCTTTCTTTTCTGCCTAAAAAGATAACAAAAGCATGTTTTTTTACATGATTGCCTAATAAAAGAATGTAATGTTTCAAGGGTTTACTATTCTGAATCTTTTTTTCCATCGTAATCACTAAATATCTGAAAATTTTTGTATGTATAGGGGTATTGTTCGAATCTCGATATCGTTCCGAGTGCCATAAGATGTCATTTTTCAAAAAAAGTTTATATTTTGGCAGGACACATATGTTTTAAATAGACAATCGGGACTTAACGCAATGAAAGAGCTTTTACAAGTAAATAGTACCTTACCGATAGTTTAAAATTAACTAGGAAATTCGATTGAAAAACAATCGAAATACTTTTTTGTTATTAGGTAACAAATATAAAAAAAATTGAGCCGCTTTTGAGAACTATTTTATTTTTGAAGTCGGTTAAAAATTAGATGAATTGAGTAGCTCCTTTTAGAAAACGCTTCACTATCAATCAATCTACGAATTCCCGTTAAACATTACAAATTCACAACATTGGATCGATATCCTTCCGAATTTCGAGTGCAGCACCGGCTGGCCGGATGTGACGTCACGTCCCCTCATTGTTGTGCGACGGTGCGCGCGCGCGCCTGTCTGTTGCACCCCGGACATTGCCCGCGTCGACGCCACGAATTGTATTTAATTTTACTATTTTTTATTTTTCAAATTACCATACAATACCATTTCAAATACACATACAAGTATACATACGTGTACACAGAAATTATTTTACCAATTTCAATGAAAATTTAATTTAATTACGAATATATCCTTTAAAAGACTGTCTTTTACCCGCAACTTTCTCTGCGCGACCGAGATATGTTTATAACCGGGATAAAAAACAGCCTATGTCCTTTTCCTTCCCATATGGTACGTGTATACCAAATTTTTATAACCCGAAAGGATATATTTATAGTTGGTCTTAAAATTAAAATAACTGGTTTTGCTACAATTGACATATTTTCTTTTTGTGGAATACAATCTTACTCATATAAAAAAGCATATTGAGTATTCGCGAACTACACTGAATAGCAATATAATAAGATACCGAAGGATATTTTGGATCTACCTTTCAATAAATCTAAAACTGTTATTAAAAAACACTTATTGAACAATTACTTGAATGACAAACGTGCATGGTGCTAGTCGATCATGCACGAGCTTTTTAATGACCACGTGATTTTAGACATGTTATATGTACCTTAATACGTGAAGCAAAAACTTTGTAGCCCTTTTTACGAAAATTGTGCGGACGGAGGAGTACGAAATTTGGCACACTTATAGTTTACATAGAGAAGAAGTACAGAATGCTAATTTTTTTTTAATTACGCTTAAAAAATACAATAAATCATTAAAAAATATATTACACACATTTCCATGTATTATATTTGTATGTACCTACACAGGTATATATACTCTTTTGTTTATTGTTAAAGTCTGTGGTCAAATCGAGAATAGATTAATATTGTTTGTCTGTTAATATTATTTGTCTATAGTGTTACTGAATGTCAAACGTAACCATAATAAATTCATTTATTACAATATATGTTATGGTCGAATTTCGACCACGGGGCGACCACTAGTTTAATTAAATATATGTGTACTTATAAATATGTTAACAGAGATTTAAAAAAGTAACTGTTGAATTTCTTGCGGGCTCTTCTCAACAGATAATAATATTTCGAAAAATGACGATTTAAAAATGCTTGTATTTTTTTTATACAACTACAACTACAAAAAGTGGTAACCGTCGCCTATAGACATGAGCAGTACCATGGACATAACAGAGTATACTGTTTCGCCCATGATACCCCCCATGCGTTGCCATTCCTGAGGACTCAGGTGTTATTCCTCTGTACCCAGTAAATTCATGCCATATCCCACGCTTCAAACCAAAACACAGCCATGCAAACACAACTGCTTCACGGTAGAAACACGAATGGGACAGAGGTACTCAAGCAATCGACTTTTGTACAAAGTCTCCCTCTGGGAAACAAGTCTATTTAAATAAAGATGATTTAAATTTGATTTAAATGGCGCTAGATTCACAAAACTTGTTGCAAATGTTACGTCTAATATTATATATATGGAAACAATTATAGAACTCGCTCTTACAAATCAAGTGTCTAAATTTGAATGGCGACGTGTATGTACAGTCTACATACACACGCTACAGTCTGCAAGGCCAGGTAAAGGTCAGTAGTCTTTCTCCAGAGGCGGTTATGTTTTATTTTTATTTTTTGGACTTGTTATAGGTGAGTTTAAGATCACGCTTTATTTCATGATATAAACTTATAGATTGTGAGTACTAGCCGTGTGGTCCCGGCGTAGAATAGATCAGAGGATTCACCAGAGGGAGACTTTGTACAAAAGTCGATTGCTTGGGTACCTCTGTTCCATTCGTGTTTCAACCGTAAAACAGTTCTGTTTGCATGGCTGTGTTTCGGTTTGTAGAGTGGAATATGGCGTGAATTTACTGGGTACAGAGGAATAACACCCGAGTCCTCAGGAATGGCAACGCATGGAGATATCACGGGTGAAACAGTATACTCTGTTATGTCCATAGTATTATTCATGTTTATAGGCGACGGTTACCATTTTCCATCAGGTAGACCGTTAGCTAGTTTGCCATTCTAAGTTGAATAAAAAAAAATAGTTATTTAAAAGTTTTACTAGTGATTTTATATAACTACTCTGTATAAACAGATGTAGATATTCTAGTCGGTATTCAGATATATATTAGACTAGCTTTTAGGCTATCTGTGGGCGACACAGATTAGATAATTCTTAACAAAAGCGAAACGGAATATAAAGTATTATATTTAAACATTTAAGGCGATAGTTAAGAAATACGCATAGAAAATATTGGATGCATTTGTGATATATGACTGACCCCAAAAGACAGTTCCTTTTCAGGTCCAATTCTCACAATATTTGAATTGCAATGCAATAAATGCGTTTTGTTAGATGCTTTAAAGATAATTCGATAAGAGGAAGGTTCCCAATTCATACTTGTTGTGTATCTTAAAGGATATCGTTGCCAAAACTAGTGTGTTGAAAAACTTACCTGAATTATAGCGATAATTAGTAATCTGCCAAAATTTATTAGGCTTTTCGTGTTCAGGATATAATACCTATTAACGGACTAATAGATAGCGGGATTTTTATACGCCTAGAGCAGTATTAGCGTAAAATAGTTACAAAAAATAAGTTCATTTAATTATATTCCATTGAGAAGAATAGAGCTAGCAAAGCAAGCTCCTTTTCCAGTAGTACTGATAATGCTCAACGGTATCACGAGCCAGTATCTGGACTTGGATATATTGACTTGTAAACTTGTCGAGAAAAATGGCAATAAATTAATTTGAAAGTGTCTAATAATAAAATTTTATTATTTTATTTATTTATTTATATTTCATATATTTTGATTGCTAAGGGAGCGAATTAGTAAACTGTCGTGCTTCCTTAATTGGTAATTATAAATCAATAAATATTTTTAAAAACAAGCTTTTATAGTCTTTGACTTTATCATCGAACTCTGGGTACACAGGGTCATAGATTTTGTCAAGACAAACCAAACGAATCGAAACACGACAGATTTATCATACGTAGTTTACGAGTTCCTATGGGCATTTTCCGTCTTCATCATCAGACCAGATTTATATTGTATGGTATCATATTATATTACCACCAAAGCATAAGTATGTCAAATTTCTGTACAGTCGGATGCGAGCAAGTGGTTAAAAAATAGATTGGAAATTTTTAACGGAAAGATATAATAAAGCAAGTTAATTTGTAAATATGGACGAATTGAGAAACTATTCCTTCTTTATCCAAAAGGAAACATTTCCTTATTCCATAGATTCCATAGAAATCCCATTAAAATTGATTTAGTCGTTTATTTTTTTAATCAAGTTACAGGTTTTGATACGACTGAAGTTGTTTTTTTTTAAACAAAATCTACTTGTACAAGACTATTGTTTGCCGTTCCCAGCGGTTAAAAATAATTTGTTTTTGTCTCTCTCTCTCTCAAAAGAAGCTATTCAACTTAAGCAATAGTACTCTCTCTTAGCTTACTTGCTAATTAGAAAGACACATAGTTATTACGTTGGCTCAGTCATACTCGAAGTGTGCTCTAAGAATTTCTGTGATTGTTTGGGCCTTTTCAGAGACACTTTAACTTTTCGTTATCTACTAAAATAATATTATTTCCAATAAAAACGAAACAAGTTAATACAAATGTTTATTTGTTATTCAGTAGGTGTTTTTAGAAATGATATAGTATTATGTATTTCATCAAATTATAATGTTACTAGCTATCCAGCCCGGCTTCCCACGGATGGATACAATTTTCGAAAATAATATGAAGCCTATCTTACTCGTAGCTTTTTATAGTTGAGAGAATTTTTAAAATTGGTTGAACAGTTTTTGAGTTTATCCGTTACAAACAAACAATGAAATCAAAAAACAAAGAATCAAGAACGTAAGTACTATTTTCCAGCAAAAAAAAAAATCATCGCGTTTAATTTTGATAGTATATTTTTAATAGTATAAACAAGTTTTTCTTATTTTAGATTTCTCAGTCAGATATTAATATGGGTATTGTAGATTAACCCTCTGCCTGCTTTTTTTTTTTTTTTTTTTTTGCTTCATTTTCGCACATTACTTTGCGAAAATCTAGCGAGATTCTGAGAAACAATATCAAT